ATATCCGCTTATCATATAAATAACTATACTTTGAAAAGAGGTTAAATTGGTATAATATGTTTGTATAAAGTAAAGTTATATATATATATATATTACTGATCAGCTTCACAAGCCGAATAGATCTTACCATAACCGTCAGTCTGTCCGTCTGTCCGTAAGTCCGTATGTAAGAAAAGTCTGTCGAAAATTAAGTTGTATGGAAAATATTTCTTTTTCATGATATCATATCCATACTCGGCGTTCGCTATTTTCCCCGTGCTTCTAAGATACGGGCAATGCATTATGAAGAGCTTGGGTTTGACAGGGTATTATATCTTCGGCGTGGCTGAGATAGCCATTCTATCAGGATTTTTTTAACCTATTAAGATAAATAAGTATTTGATGCAAGAGGGGAAGGCAGTTGCCGCCGCCACAAACACTAAAGAAAAAGTAAAGATCATAGAACATGCACTGAATAATTCATAAATGTCACCAACACCAGCCGAGACGAAAATGACTACGAGGGCGTTCTTTGCTAGTCTTTTATATAATAAGCTATATCATGGGTTGGAAACGGAAAGTGGCACAATTCAGACACAGGTGAAAGGCTATGAGAAATTCGAAAAACCCCGCCAACATTGTGTGTGTGTGAGCAACCTATACGCAACGCGACAAAGCAAATTTTTAAAAATATCTCGGCCTGCTTTCATGCGTCTTTCGACTGCCCTTTGGCTTAATCATTTCATAAAACATTTATGCTGACGACACAATGAAAACGGCTAAGTTTACATGGTTGTCCATCTGCGTTATGTGCCTGACCTATTTACATTTACTTTTGTCGCCCCTCGTCGTTTTCCTTCTATTCGGTTTTTTTGGTGGGCGGTCATTTATAAGCAAAGCTCAATTCGGTAGCAGCATGGTCCTGCCTGTTTAACATCATCCGCCGATGAGGCTGCTCTACCATACTTCACTTATGTCAATTTCTTTTGAGCATACCGCTGAGCATTTATCGCATTGTTGTATGTTGGGACTTTACTATTTTTTATGGGCCTAGCTTTGTGCTTGCGTGTTCTGAGGAGCATAGTTTTATACTTAGAAACCAAAATGCAATTTGAGCTTTATGCACGCTAATATCTATCGAATTGTCTAAGATAAATCATATAAATTTATCGGAAAATAAATATTTTAAAACACCTCGGACCTGAAGTCTGCTTATAAAATATTTAGTCTCAGGTAATTCTTAATTCTCTGTCTCTCTTTGATCTGTGCATATTTTTTAATGCTGACTATATATCAAAATGCAGCGGGCATTTGTGATTTGGGACACCAGCTCCACCTGATCAAATCGCAAAATCACATTAAATTCCAAGCTTATGCCGGCTTGACATTGTGTGAGTATTGCATTCGCACAGTGTCACTGTGTGCGTGGAACGTATTTCTGTTGCAATTTCCGGCTGTTTCCATCGGAAGTGAAGCTTCTCAGAAATACTGTAAATAAAGCAGAGAGCTCCAATAAGCAAAGGCAACGCGAATGCTCCAGAGGAAACGTTAGTCAATATTGGGCTCAGAATTCTCTATTCTATTCGGTCGCAGTTTTTTGCATGTTTTGCGCACCCACAAGTTTTCCTTCTAAAATCGTTGTAAGTCGCCAGTCGCGCTTGACTTATTTCCATATGCAATATTTCTCAATTGCTGTAGCTGTGAATATTACACATGTCGGTATGTCGTTCGAGCCAGAAGTAAATACATTAGTATATATACATCGGCATAAATATGGCCTTGGGTAGCGGGGTGTTTACCATTGCCATCTAGTAAATCATAGTCAATATCTTTATTGATTTATTGCATACTCTAATAGTTGGGAAATGGGCGTCGATAAATTTGTATTTTAAATATGCATTATTAACATTGTTACTATAAATTCAATTACTCTTTCTACTGTCTGGTAGTATTTCTATATAAATTTCCTTTTTTTCCAAAGAGAAACTTAATAGTCTAGACAATAGTGAGTTTTGTGTAGCATTTCTAAAAATATCAAAAAAAAAAATGTTTCTTATATATAAATTGTGCAAAAGAGAGCATTCGTAAAAATGTTGCGTTATAAAAAGCGTTTAAAAAAATTGAAACTTTCACAAATTCAATTCTGTTGGCAACATTTAAATTCAAAGCTCGAATAGGAAATTGTGTTTTGTGTGTCAAATTCATCGGGTCAGTGCGACCGCTGGAGGTTACAACAGGAACTGATTGAAATTCCAACTGGGCCACATAGATGGTCATGGATGCAATTAATTTTTTAATCTTCTAACAGTGAAAAGGCAAATATTTAAACTTTGTTTACTATTTATACAAAGAAACATGGAAACTCTGAATAAAATAGGTCTTTGCAAGGCTATGATGCAAATCTCTTTCCGAAAGCAACAGAGATTCGATTCATGCCGGTTTCCCTTTTCCTCATGGCGGGCGCCTATTAACTGCAGCTGTTTTTATTTTTAATAACCCTTTTTTGTGGCAACGACGATGGCCATGCGTCCAGCCTGATTGAGCTTGATGGTTATGGTAAATTCCTCTAGTTGAATATTTTATGAAGCTGCGATGCGGCAACAAACAATTTATATAATCAACATAGATTGTGGGTCTCAAGTTATTAGTCTGGGATCAGCATTGGCGGCAATCATTTTCCAATGTGTAGCAAATGGCAAAGTTTCCTTTTGTGCCCCAGCAGCTCTCGGCAGAGTTTTCGTTATAGGCCAGTGACAATTTTCGGATGTGAACTTCAATTGCGCGTTAAATTTTCCATGTTTACATTTTTTGGTCGCGCTCTCCCACAGAGATCTTTTCGCTCCACACCGCTGCCCACTTAGGGCTATGATGGGCTGTTCTTATTAATAGCATTAATTTAAAATTTAATGTTTTAAACCCCATTTGATTGTTAAATTTGTGTTCTAACATTCCGTACACTGATTTCGGTCTCATTTCGGGCTAACAAATTTATACGTTATAAATCAGTCATTTGAGTAAGTGAGGCCTAAGGTCTGCATTGGGCTGATGTACCATGAGCCATTTGTCATAATCTTTCTTCGATTTTGAGAGTGAACTTTAAATCATAGAAAACCAAAGCGGAAATAACGCACAGGTATAACCGTAAGTGACAGGAAGCTGAAATTTTCACTGTAGTTACCTTATTTGATGAAGGTGCACGTTAAGATGGGATTTCCGGAAATTCCACCCGTAAGTATGGAAAAACGCGAAAAAGGTTTGTATGATCGGCTCTTAAATTCATTTTCAAAGATCTTTTTCAAACTCATTTGAGAGGTGTTTCAGACTCTTCCAAAAATCCATTCCTGCTTGGTGGATATGGGGGTCAAAAATTTGGTGGGTAACTTTCTAAGGATCTATGTGAAAAATCATTTGAGACGTGTTTCATAATTTTCGCAGAATCAAAGCATTTTCGATAAAGAGTGCGATTCTAAGAATTTTTTGGTGCAATTTTAATTATTTTCCGATTGCTCTAAGCTAATTTTTAAAGCTCTTCATAAGAATATAATTAATTTGCGTTTTAACAATTTGAGATATTCCACTCGCAACATTAGTGAAATCGCGAAAAACGCTTGTAAATAATACATATACAATTTCAGTATTTTTTTTTATTTTAAAAGCTATCCTTTAATCTATACGGATTCTTTAAGGGTCACAACCCGACGCTATTGCGTGCCCTTTACTATAACCTGCACCAAGAGAGGAAAAACTACAGAAATCAGCTCGTAAAGGAGAGAGACGAACAAATGAGCTACTGGTTAAAGAGCTCTTAAGAGTTATAAAAGAGGACTGTAAGAGCGAAAGTTCACCATGTAAAACAGTGTTGCCATTTACTGAGCAACCAAAAAGCCAGATCTGCTTTAAAATAGCGCAAAACAGTCGAATGTTTTTTAAAAAAGCTGAACAAAAAGCTGAATTTTTAATACTGTTTTTGTTTGATATTTTCAATAATTAAAATTAATTAGTTTATAATTAAAACATATTAATTACACCATCTAAATTTTCATCCTCATCTGCATAGGATTCGCTAATGCCGGCAAAACGCAAATAATTTCTGTTAGTTTTTTTATCTAACGCAAACTAAACTGGGCATCACCCATATCTTTTTGGAGATCCTCATAGAAATGAGGAACCAAAACATTTTTTATTATATTTATGCGATTGGTTTGATGTATTTATAGTCGGCTAGCCGTGCTGCTGTCATTGAATTTCATAGCATAGAACTGCTCAAATGATCCACTGGAGCCACTGCAGTCTGTTAAGCACATCGCGACACTGTTTTAACTGCTACATGTGCAAAATCTATTATGTTTATTTTGCGTATGTCCACCCACCATACTTAATTGTTTTTGTGTGGCTGCATGAGCTTTTAAACCGGATAACTTGGCTGTTATATTGCTGTTGCAATAGCTGCAATAAGCCCGCGTATCGTCAGTAACATCCTTGCGGAGCCAGCCCTTAAGCTCGACAATTGCAGCCAAACTCTTTGCTTATCAACCGTTTTCGACATTTACCAAGTCAAAAGTTTATCAATTTGTGAAATTCACCGCCTTAGTGGTGTGTGCCGCAAGTAAATCGCTTAACCAATATGCCAATGTAACGCTTTCCTTTCGAGAATGATGCCAATTTCTCTTATTTCCATTTTAGGCACATCTTAGTGTTAAATCATTTTATAAAAAAAAAACGCGAATAAAAAGTTAATGTAAATAATTAAGAATTCCCGATGCCCGCTGTTTTAAAATTTATTTCGCAGTCAGACTTTCACAAAAGCCACATTTGACGGGAAATAATCTGAATTGTCAACACTGATGCAGAAAAAGTTACACTTCCAGATATGCGTGCACGCTCTCCGCCCCTGTATTACTCTCTTTCTCACGCTCTCTCTCTCTCTGTCTGGAGCTTAATCCACAAAGCAGTAGCTGCTGCTCTGGCAACCGACAGCGAACATAATGGGCCAAGAGTGCGACTTCAGTCGTAGGAATTCATTCGTGCGTCGTGGACACAAGTGAGTCGCTGCAGATTCTCTGTGCACTTGGCCTCTCTGTGGGTGTGCGTGCTTTTTATGTGTAGCTAGTCTTTGTGAATAGCTTACAGTTACCAAGCGTCCATTGCCAACAAATGAAAAAGAAGGCCAGCTGCTCAAATTAAAGCGGGTAATTGGCAACAAAATATAGCAAGTATTAAATTCTTATTTGTTATATCGTGAAAATTAGGTAGCGGAAAAATCGATTAGCCCAATGAACGTGAGATTGTGTGATAATATGTATGTGTGTTTTGTATGAGTTTGTATTTGCCTAAAACACCCAAAAAAAAGAAATAAATAAATATAAAGTAAAATAAAACAAACAAATTAAATTAAAGGATGTTGCTGTAGACCGGCATGGCCATGAACGCCCCTTGATAAACTCAACAACAGCATCCAGCAAGGTCGCTGAGGATAAAACAACAAAAAAGGATAAAATCAACAAGAACTGGCAGCAGTAAGAAATTAAAAACTCTGCCGTTGCAGATGGACGGACAATTCTGAAGAGGTAAATCAAACAGAAAGAACAACATTACAAAACCCAATTTTTCTCGGTTATTTATACATAATTTCTAGTTTTATTTTCTATCCTATTTCTATGGGGATTCGAAACACAAGATCTGCGAAATAATCCATTCACAATGTTGTAGAAGCTTATTTAGAATTATTAGAATTAAATAAATTTAGGTACTAATTTATATGCCTCTGATCAATCAACAATGTCTTAACCAAACAGAAATCGCTTTAACTGATTACTAGCTGGTTTTCTAGAAAGGAAATCTAATTTTTAAGAAAGAGAAAGAGAGTAGACAATTACAATCCTTTGTAAAAGTACATCTTATAAGTTAATTAGTACGAATAATTTGTTTTTTGAATTAGAGACTGTTATTTAATTTGGAAGGAGATCACGGACTCTTTCCACAGAGTAATAAAGAAGTGTGCTCTTAATAGGAATTGGCCCATTTATAGAGATAAATAATCAGTTTAAATAGTAATAAATACTTGATAGACTATAAAGTTTTTTGTACACATGTTATCTACATGTGTGAATGACATTTTTACTTTAATTAAAAATGTGATGATGTGATGAAGAAAAATATTATTATTTTTAGTAACCTTATGATTTTTTTATAAGAAGATTTAGACATGCGAATAGAAAGATTATTCTTACTGACAATGTGTATATGATCTACTACAGAAGCAGTTTTTTTCAGTTTGCAAATCTGTATAGCTATTAAAGTTTAGTTTATTTTATTTTCAAAGTGATATATGTTGTGCAGCAGAGGTCTGTTAATTATTGCATTTATCAAACCCGGCGTCCGTTCCGTGTTGTTGTTATTCTCTTTTTTGATTCTTTTTCTTTTTCAACTACCAATAAGCCCCGCCGTTGCTTTCGCAACTGAAACCATTTCTTGCTCAATCAAGGTATTCATACAACCGATTGGTCTTAGGCACGGTCGGTCGATAAATAGGTTCTTGTATTCAAAACTTTTCTGTTATCAAGAGATCTTCACTATAGTTTTGCTCTGCGTCTCATAAATATGCATAATACTATCAATACCGGACTACTCTATCTTATAGACGCTTTAGGAATACAGCTTTGGCACAAATAAAATTTTATAACTCATTTGTTTCGTTCCTCCATCAAATTGGCTGATATTTTGACACCTTGAATAAAAGCTTACTAAATTAAATAACATTGTCAACTGAAAATTTAAAAGCTCTTCGTTGACAGTTGTCAGCTGTGAAATTGAAAAACAAATGTTCGGGTGCTTCGAATGGCACTTTGTTTTTTTTTTTTTTTGTAAATGTTTCTGCAAATACGTGCACAAGTCCTTAATCACGTGCAGAACTTTGGCGAATTGTTCGATATGTAGAAAAGTGAAAAGCAAAACTTTTCATAAAAACGACATCCACCCTCACTCACACATTCCTGTCGCAGCTTAAAACAATGCCAAAAGTAGACAGCACTTGAGGCACATCAGCGAGACAGTCAGAGACAATGCAACAACAAAACAACAAAGCGACAACAATAACAAAACAATATCCAGGCACTTGAGCATTGAAGCACATTTGTTTTCGCAGGTGTTTGCATTCCTTTTATGTATGTCAGATAGGAAATAAATACATAAATGAAAAATAGAGATCTAAAGCTTGTTTAGCATACAAATCATCTGAAACTTATATTTTATTTTCTTCTTCCAAGATAGTTTCAACTAGATTTTGCCAACTGTGGGCATTGTATATACCATGATTCACCTTTACCTTTTTACCATATTTAGTGTATACTGTTTTAAAAGTCTTTATCAAGAACAAGTATCGGTGAGTTATTGAATAGAAAGAGGAATTGCTTAATTCAACAATAAATTTAATTGAGCTTTGCCTTAAATCGAGCTACGCACTGTGTGAGTTATCAGAGGGTACTGCAAAATATGCCAAGTCTTTTCGCCAGCAGTTCAGCAAATAATCATAAATCACACAATTACTTATGCCCTCTTACTTATTCTCTCTTATCACCTCTTTTACTCGGTGTGTTTCAGCTGGAGCCAATATAGCATGTACCTTATCATGTAGCGCCATGATCAGACCGGGGGCCAAGTGGTTATGCTATGCAGGCAACGAAACTGGGAAACCACACCTCCACTCATGTACCTATATCCCCAGCAGAAATCAGCAACAGGAACAACAACAGCGCGAGCATAAGCAAATCAAGGGCAATCTTTGGACATGGCATAGGGCAGATGCTGTAACGGGTGTCGGTGTTAGCGACAGCAGCGTGGGCGTCAGTGGCGCCTCTGTTGTAGTCTGAGGCAACATCATTAGCTTCAAACACAGCTTAATGATTATGCGCAAGGCAAGCCAATTGTATTATGCCGCAACTATGAACTATTGCTACAATTAATATTAATTCATAATATTTCTACAATATTCATGTTAAGAAAAAATGTTCATATACATTATATAAAATATATAACAAAAAATAAAATATGTTGTAAGTTTAAGCATATATATTCCAATAAATTTATTTATAAGATTTACTCAAAAAAAATTTCAAAATTTGTCATTTTTGTTATATGTACAAGGAATTTGCACATTCCAACAACGATTCGCTTTAGTTTATTTTATCTCAGATTCTGTTATAGGATGTTATAAAATATTTATGAATAATGAATATGATTCTGTTATAGGATGTTATAAAATATTTATGAATAACTATTACAGCCGAGTCGGTATATATTGGTAGGCAGGGTAAATATATATTTTTTTTAATTGAATGACGAAACAACATTGGAGGAGCCCAAGCTAGATATCAATTTTCTGCCAAAACATGCTGCGTCTGTCCTGATAAAAAACACTGAACCTCTGCTTGTGTTCAAATTGTTGGCGCGAAAATCGAATTTGCTATAATCAGAACAAAGCCCGCTATAACAAACGTAATTACCCAATCGTAACTTAAGCTGAAAGAAAAAAATAATACAATACGAAAACATAACAGCTTCGCTAACACAGCTCTGTTTCCAGACAGGTATTTAGCACTAGTATCGAAAACAGCTTTAGTTCAGCATCCGTTGGATTCAATACGTATCCCTGGGCACAATGAAAATTGTTTTTGAAATTATGAGTTATTTATGACCGGCTTTTTAAAGGACACTATGCCCTGTAAAATGAGTCTAAAGAAAGTATGATATTGTGTTTGGTAATCCAAAAGATTTCGTTTTTAAAATTTTTAAACCCTGAACCCATTTAAAATGGGTAAAAAGGGTATAATATTTTTGTGCATATGTATGTAATAGGCAGAAGGAAGCATCTCGGACCCCATGAGGTATTTATCTTCTTAGCCGAGTCGACAAAGCCATTTTCTTTGCATTCTATAAACAGGATTGCAACTGCGTTTGGACTGTTTTTTGCAACAACGTGGGAGTCATCGTGCCTTAATGTTGTACTTAAGTGAATCGAGGTCAGTGTCAGCACTTGCCATTAGGCGCCCGCACACGGCTTCGACTCATATTATCAAATCAACATGAAAGTTTACAAATGGACGAATGGCAGAAGGAGGTAGACACTGTGACACAAAGACGGCTGGACAGAAGGCCAGACTGGCGGGTAGTTTAGCCACACGCAAGCAATTTAAAAAGCCATTTGTCTGCATAATGCGCCCAACTCAGTCGAGACTGTACCGAGGTACAGGCCATAACCCTTGCTTTTGTTTTCGGACATGCGAACGACACACGAATCCATTCGCATACAGTTTCAGTTTCTATCTCCACGCCAAAAATCGCAGATGCGCTTAACTTAATGTTTTCTTCTTTTAATTGTTTTTTTTTTTTGTACCTTGGTGTCAGTCAGTCCTAGGCGCATGTTATTTGGTGGCTGTTTTTAAGCCTACCCAACTTGAGAATAAAACCCTCGCGTGGTTTGCTCGCAACATTTTATGTTCATTAAAGGAGTCTGCTTGATTTTAAGGTCAAGCTCTGTTTCGAAATTGAATGTGCAGCATGCTCCGAAATGTAGCATGACATATATAATATATATATATATATATATATATGTTTGTCCTGATCATCATGATTGGTGATCAACGCACAGGCCCAACTCTTAAGATCTGTGATAAAGGTTCATGTTAAGGCGGGGTTTTGGGAAATCCTATTCACAATTGTGGAAAATCTTAAACTTTTTTGTTCACTATCCGATCGGTCTTACACTCAGTTTCAAATAAATTTGATTAAATTCATTTGAGGTGTGTTTCAGAATATCGATTCCTCCTTGGTATAAATAGGGGTTAAAGATTTGGTGGGTGACGTTTCGCGCCCAAATTCATTTCCAAGGACCTATTTTTTGCAGAACCAAACCATCTTTAGGGAAAAGTACGATTCTTATACTTTTTTTTGGTGAAGTTGTAAGTATTATCTGATTTGCTTGTTTTATAATCGTTTGCTTGTCATGTTTTTTTAATCTGCAGCAACTTTTGCCCTTAGGTAGCTGATGGGTGCGTCTGATTCAATCATTAGCTAACTTTGCTGCTTGCTAAGCATACAAGACATGTTTCTATCAGGCAGCTGCCATTTACAGCCATTGGCATCGACCAGCTTTTTCGTGCCTAGGGCCCATTACACATATGTGTTTTTTTTATCAGATTTATTCTGGATATTATGCCATATTTGAGCAGTCCATCTCTAAAATCATGTCATTCTTTTATTGCACCTATGTCGACTAAATAAAGTTTTTCATGCATATTTCTGACAAGGAGCAAACAGTTTTCGGGTGAGTTTAAAAACTAAAGTTTCCCAAAACCCTCTCAAGCTTACTTTTGTAATCCGCTTAGTTGTAATCTGCATACAGCGTATATTGGGTCTGGTATGCCAGCTATTTGTGATGAAAAAGTAATTTGGCAAAGTATATATAATCAAAATGTAAAATAACATTAGTCACATTAAGCCAATTTAGTTGCTCGAGACTGCAGACGGACCCTAATACAAACACAAAATACTACTGAAAATTTTCTATTACAAAGATGATTTGCCACATTCTATATTTTTAATATATCAGCCAACAGCAGGTCCTGACTTGTTGTTAACGCAGCAACGCTTATTAATGAAAATGTCGCATGTTTCAATATACCTTTTTTTAATATTGAAATATTTTATAAAATTTTGATGAATTAATTAACTTTTTATATGTATATATCTGCTGCCCTAAGTCTCTCCACCCCACTCTCTCCCACTGCGTATTGTCCTTTTGAGGTGACGATTTAAGCGCGCTCAATGCCATCAGATTATGACGTTGATTGTAGTGCTCTACGTCCCATTAATCAGCTATTTGCAATCCATCAAACGCAGGCACACTGCTCGACTTGAAAACAAAAGAAACGAGAAGCAAGGGCTATCTTCAGCACGCCGAAGACCTAATACCCTTGCATACCATATCTGTTTATAACACTCATAATGGCTTGCCCGTCTCTAAGAAGCAGGGGGAAAAATATGTCGAGTTAAAGACCAAAAAAATGTTCATACGACATCTTAATTTTCGAGCGATCGCAGCTATATGATATTGTGGTCCGATCCAATACTCTTTCCAAGGGTATAAAAACAAAGGCATGTCCCATCATGTTAAAATGTCTGTTTTCTGCTTCAGCGGCCCCAACTTGACTCGCGTTACATTTTGTCCTGTCATTTTGAGCTCATTATTACTCTTGTGAGTCTTCTTTCAATGCTCCTATTCTAATAAACGCTTAAGACGAAGCCTAGGTTCCCATCTTTTAATTGAATTATCTGCACTTACTGCCGTTACTGATTGTGACGATAAGCAAATGCCAGCTGATTCAACCTTTCACAGTTGAATTCTGGTGAAAATAAATAGTTTAAAAATATTAAAGTCATTTTACAGAGAAAGTTTATAGATTGTTTGATTGTCCGATTAGCTGAATGTTGCCAAAATTAAAAGAAACTTTAGAATGACCAACTAACATAAGATGTTTTGGTGGCAGTCTATATTTAGTATAGTAACGACCACGTCACGCGCTATAAATATGCGTTCCTGGTGGGCTTTTAGGTTGGAGGAGTGGGGTAGAAATGAGGATGCTGTCTATGCCATGGTGATGGTAATTCAGGACTGGAAATTGGAGACGCGTGTCTGGGGCTTGCTGAAACGGCATTGACCAATATGGACGCGTGGGCCGAAACCTGCTGTTTTCCCGTCTGGCTCATTCTCCTTCACAAACCACTGGCATCCAAGTCAAAAAACATAATTTTCTAGGCAGTTGGCGCTCGTTGATTTTCGTGTTTCATAAGCGGGCGGCCAAATCTTTGTTGGCCATCATCAGAGCGTGGGCAGAAGCACTTGATGACTATAATCTGGCAGGGCAGACTCAACGATCAGCGAGACACTCAAATTCATTTATCTTCTCGCTCGCTGCATTTTATCGACATCAGCCAGACAATGGCAATTACAGCAGCAACAACTTTTGTACAATGCCCTCGTCTGGGTATCTACAATATTTCATTAGCATCGGTATTGGCATCGGGATCGTCGTGATGACCTTCGTGATTATCATGAAATCAATTAAAGGGGAGTTATTTAATTGTACTTTGCTTTTCGCGTGACCCTTTTATCTGTTCCATTTTTCAGCCTTGTAAGATGACAAAAAGTGTAGCATACTTAAGTGGACCAATTTGTGGATCCAATTGCTCTTAGGCCTTTAAATTTGCTGGAATTTCGCTAACGTCGCATGTCTCACAGAGTGCTTCATCATCATCATTTTTGTGAATTTCGTTAAAGTTTTCTTTGCATATTTTTCCCACTCTTCGTATTACTGTGGGGTATGCAGACCCGTCTCCTTGGTAAAACTGAAATTGTGGTTTCTTCCGGCAACATAATTTAATGGCAACGGAATAATTACTTTTAAAATAATGCATATGTTGTAGATGGCTTACTGTGTGCCACTAAAAATTTGTCGATCATATTTTGTTGGCGAAATATAGCCACGATAGATCCCATCATAGCTCGCTATGTCTGTTTCCAAAAATTTGCAATTGAGTGTAAGCATAGGAGCAGAGACAGAGAGAGACTCTGCTGCTGAGTGAGGTCTGATCGTAAAGCGCTGACTGAAAGAGAGTAACGAAGAGAACAATAGTTGCACTATTTTTAGTGACTGAGTGATTGGTAAATTAAGGAAGTTAAAGATTCAGTCTGCTTGCGCTATTGACACGGACAAAACTTGCTGTACTGTAAATAATACAATTGATACCCATCTCTACACTCCAATATACATATATAATATCCAATTGTGTGTGTATGCTTACAAAGTGAATTTCGATATCGATTTTATTATTTGAATGGAAAGAACCCATGACAGAGATGAATTGGGAATAATAATAACAGCAGCAGAAATATTCGATCATGTTATAAAAGCAGATGTTAAAATAGCTCAATTTATATAAATTCCTG